TGCACATATCTGATGTTGCTGCTATTTTTTCAAATATCCATTACTTTAAAAATGTCCAAAGCTGTATATTGGTTATTTTATTCTCCAGGTTCACAGTTTTATTTTGTTAAAATACTTCACAGTACCATATTCTATTGTTTATCTTTTAACTCTTCACTAATATGTTATTCTTATAGATTTTTCTAAGGTCCACGTTTGTGTGACAATTTTGTCTATAATCTTTTTGCTGCTGTAAACACCAGAAATTCCCCATTGTGGGACAATGAAGGGATTTTCTATTCTATTCTATTCTATTCTATTCTATTCTATTCTATTCTATTCTATTCTATTCTATTCTATTCTCTATTGATGCTTCCAGATGCAATGTGTCCTTATCTATCAACACTTATTCTGAGTTCAATAGTTTCCAAATCTTTTTATTATATTCTACATGTACAGCATCACGATTCAGTAATGATTGGACAGGTGGGTACCAGCTGTTGACAATGCAGGAAGATACATTATTTCTTTATTCTTTAATCATAAACAAGAAAGTTGTGCATGCCTGTAATTTACTATAAAAGCTATATTCTTACCATTTCTTTTTTTATTCATAAATGTTTCTAGAAAGTTTAATTTATTATGGAGTCTTTATTTTCTAAAGCTACCATTCAATAGTAATAAACTGTTTGTTTTTATGAAGACTATGTAGGAAATTTGTACATTCACGGACTGAATTGAAAAGAGACAGTAGCTGTGTTTAAAAGGATAACCCTATAAAAGGATAACCCTCAGGCTAAAACCCATGAAAAGGGAGAAGTGACATAAAACGGGACAGATGGACCCATTATTCAAAGTGAGACAGTTAGGAAAGTTCAAAACGTTTATTAAAACAAAACAGTATTGAAGAGCAGAGCAGCAGTTGGCAGCGTCTGCAGGGGGGCGTGGTACAACCCATCTCTGACCCTCTGGAGGGAGAAACACAGGTAAGTGACCACAATGGTCTTAGGGGAGATGATAATCTCAGTGAGTCACTTACCTGGTTTCACAGCTCAGTCCATCTCCTTCAAAAGAGCTGTAATCCAGCCGATGGGCTGCCAAACAGACACAACGTGCATCGCCCAGAGTGTCCCTGCTGCTGCAGTCCCAGAGAACTTGCAGGAAGCCAATTTAGGTCAGGGAAAAACTGATCAGGTAGGAACAGTTCTGAGATCTAGTGGTCCATAGTAAAACCAGAGGTTCGGATACGAATAGAACAGATAGATTCTGGGTTCCAAGAATCCTCAGATAGTTTAGGCAGGTTCAGAATCAGAAC